ACTCAGCCTTAAGGGGTGGGTAAGAGCTACAAAAAACGCGAAATCACTCACTCGCTCTGAAGTCTCCCCTTCCTCAGCCAAGGCTTATTCTTTTTTCTAAGAAAAACAGAATTTTTGGAAATTTTGGATCTTTACATGTTCTGTTTTGTTTGCTGTTAGAAGGCGTTTAACTTTTTAGCATGTTTTGTTTCGTTAGCAGATTGCGTCAGCAGATGCCCCGCCGTCGGCCAACAGACCCAAAAATTGTAAAAAGCTCCTATATGAATGGCCGACAGTAATAATGTCACTAGAAAGCGCTGCTAACCTGTGACCTTCTCCCACAACTGCGTAATATCTTAGCGAATCCGACTATCTTTTCTCAACGAAACACTTGAAAAATTGTTCATGGAAAGTTCTTGCGTGCTTTCTTTACATAAAAACGTCAGTTGAGATCACGTGAAAGAGGCAAAAATTTTCGGTTTCCGACAAGAAACCGGCCTACGAAAAGCACACCCTGGGGACGGTTGCGGGTAGGTGGGGCGGAGACAAGCGGACGCATTGGTCGGCCACGTAGTAGGCGACGCGTTAGAAAAACCAATGCATAGTTTCGAATTCGCAGGAGAGAAAAACGATGAAAGAAAATGATGTAGTTGAAAAAAGAGATGTTATTGCCATAGGTGGAAAGGGCCAAAAAGATCTAATAATGAAAGCAATCCGAGACCCAGCATTTGTGACAGATGTACTGCGGAACTTAAACGCGTAACAGCTCCTGGAATTATTCTCTGGAACAAACGCGGTTTTTTGTTCTTTTCGTTTTCATCCTGAATGATGGGTCTCAAGCCAGTGATTTATAGGTGTATACGTATAATAGTTATGATTTTTCTGTGGACAACTTCAATTTGGCCTTTTGATTTGGGATGCCACCACACACAAATCGAGCGCGATGGTGTCGTTCAATAGCATTTCAGGGAAACAAAAAGAACATACTTGATTTTTCATATGATGTTGATAGAAACTAACACTAGAATAAAACGTGACGTCAGCACAGTTTGAGCTCTCGAAGCAGAATTTCAGGCAACTTTCGATGTCAGTTCCGCTTTTTCTATTTGCTTGTGATGTTTTTGTCACTGCAGAAGGAGGAAGTTGTGTGAAGGTGCAGGACAGACCTGGAGTCACCTGAAACGAAAACAGCGAAAGGAGCTAAATCACAAATGATTGCCCTTGAAGCATTTCCAGAAAGGATCCGCTACGATTCTGAAGGGTAATTGACATCTGGGAGGTTGCGCATGCGAAACATGATGCCCATTTATTTTGAATCCTGCGTCTGAAGCGATCCTGGCCCCCTAGCTATGGAAGTCTACAAAAGTGACGTGGTGTAAGGATTGCTACGTTTGCATGCTACATCAATCTGTGGGTTTATATACAGAACATGTGGGCGGTGTTCAGATACCGTATCGCCACTGGACCGCAGAGGGCTAGTAGCGCGCCAAAGTTGATGAACGAAGCGCTGCTAAGTTACATAGCTGATGGCACACATGTGTTATAGCAGCGTTATGCGTATGGTGTGCGGTATCATTTCAGAAAATATTCATAAGGAGGGAGGGGAAGAGCAGGAAGAACGACACTTTGCCAATGTCGCCCTTCACTTCATCGATTCACTATTGGATAATTTCGTGGATACAACCAGTAGTTTACCCATGCAAACCCCCTGTCAACCAGAAAGCGTAATGGCACACGACCCTTTGAGGCGCAACGCGTGCGCTACCGCGGCAGATTTTTCTGGGACGGTAGTAAACTAGCCAAACTTGCACGTTAACGGGCAGTTTTAATGAGCACGTAACGTGGAGGTGCAAGTTTTTCCGATGATGGTGGAAATCGCTTCTATGGCACCTAGGAGACCTATTTATGAAACTCTGAAGAAAGCTTCCCAGGTGAGCTGCAGCTCCCTGGCAGGGTGGTTCCTTGTTACGCGCAGCCGTAAAACGCGCAGGAAGGGCTCGCTGACAGAAAACGGGACGCGGAGGGGCGAAATACAATGTGTTTGGAGAGACGCAGGTGACGCCCGTTACGCGCAGCAAAAAGTCCTTCGGAGGACTTTTTGGAGTTGGCCAACTTCAAACTGCCAGGTGCGTGGGTCAAAGCACGGTGTTGGAAAGGGAAAGGGAGGCACCTTGCATTGATTCGTCAGTGGTGTAGCGCCTGCGGTCTACGTTGGTGTTGGATCAGTCGCGGGATCAATACTACGATAAGTCTAAAGGTTTGCAACCTTTGTAGGCTATTCCCTTTTCTCTACAACCCTTTCACCGTCGATAAGAAGGGCTCCTTAGTGCAGTGGTAACGATGCCGCTCATGGGACGGTGCACCGAAAGTTCGAACCCGTGTGTGACGCAAGGTTTGCAGGCAACGTGGGGCTCACCACTTCCTATGGCAAATTACCAATGGCTCAAGGAACGTTCCACGCTGCCGCTGGCAAGGTTGCTGGATCTACACCGCTTGGAGTCTAAGATTTGCAAACAACATCCGTTGCTTACCTTGTCAACACCTCTTCCGATGCTGTGATCGAGTGATCCCTGGTGCACTGGCAAAAACCCGGCTTTGAGTCCTGTCATCCAGGGTTCAAGTCCGAGAGTGGCGCAAGTTTTGCAGGTAGTGTGGCGAGGCTGGCGGTTTCAAGAAGGGTCAAGTCCATGTTTCCACGTTCCTTGTTCCTCGTCAATGGGTGAAAATCACCACATTTGATTGCCAGTCTAGGGCACTTTACTACCGTCCCTGGTGTCACATTCATCACAATGGATTCCAATGAAGTGAAACGTGCTGCGGTTTCAGTTTGGAAGCATTCCATTTATAATTGGCAAGGTGTGAATAAATCTATCGAGTGAAAAAGGCCTTTTCTATTGCCCTTCTTCTATATTATATATCTATATATACGTATGCATTAAAGCAACAACCCCAGATGAGGTCCTGTCGAGCAATCTATTGCTGGGACAGCATAGCCCGCGAGTATCACGATTGTGCCTGATGTTGCAGCTCAAAGTGCGCGACATTGCGCTAGGTCCTTACAATTTGAAATAGTGAGGGACAGGGTGAGCTAAAGGACGAGATAAGTCGCGCATACACCATGACACTCAACTGGATTACGGCGCAGCGGCTGATTCAAACAAGCGCGGATCAGTGGAGCCAGGAAACAAGCAAGTTGGGACAGGACAGTCTAACACGGCCACCCCTCATGTCAGGGGTAAGAGAGGGACTCCTTGTACAAGGCTTCATCAGCGATTCGAGTCACTTCTTTTTTCATCGTCGGTCAACTCGGCATCCACAATTTCATTGTTCACCGCCTGTTACTCCACTAATTTGATCTGGGGTTGTTCCTTCAATCAAATGAGTTGAATTTCATTGGACTTCATATGCATGGCGACGCCACCAAGATATGTGGATGGCTGTGAATCCTCCAACAACGTACTGTAGCGATCAGAAGCACAGCTTACCTCCGTGAGATGCAGGAACACGGCCAATTCTGTAATGAGAAGCACCACACTGCGCATTCTTCCCTCGGAACTGAAACTGTTATTCTGACTTTATTCAGGGAAAGCTTGCTAGCACTTCATGATGAAAGCTACTTTGTCATCTCAA